ATGATGGGCCAGTTCGACCTGGGTGGGCATCCCGCCGGCGCCGCGCGGCGTGCCGCAGATCGAGGTGACGTTTGACATTGACGCCAACGGCATCTGTCACGTGACGGCAAAGGACAAGGCGACCGGGAAGACGCAGAACATCACCATCACGGCGAGTGGCGGCCTGAGCAAGGAACAGATTGAGCGGATGATCCGTGACTCCGAGTCGCACGCGGAGTCGGACCGCCTGAAGCGCGAGTTGGTGGAGGTGCGCAACAATGCCGAGACGCAGGCGAACACGGCGGAGCGCCAGCTGACGGAGTGGAAGTACGTGAGCGATGCCGAGAAGGAGAATGTGCGCACGCTGCTCGCGGAGCTCCGCAAGTCCATGGAGAACCCCAACGTGACGAAGGACGAGCTTTCGGCGGCAACGGACAAGTTGCAGAAGGCGGTTATGGAATGCGGCCGCACGGAATACCAGCAGGCCGCCGCGGCGAACAGCAGCAGCTCCAGCGGCAACACTGACAGCAGTCAGGGCGAACAACAGCAGCAGGGTGATCAGAAGAAGCAGTAAGAATACCTTCAAATAGATTGGTATTTTTCTCACAGAAAGATCGTAACCCAAAGTAAGTCTAAATCATTATTTTTCTATTTCTCTATATTACGGCCTCTGCTAAAATAAAACGAGGTGCTTATGAAACCGTGAAAAAACGAATAGTGTAAAACCATTATGCCCTGTGTCCGGAGACCTCTTACATGTGTCATCTTCCGTGCTGATCTTGTTTTTCTATCTTTACCGTAGGAAATCATGGTGATGGCTCTTCTAAACCTCACAGGATAAAGTTGAATAATTAATTTCATATTTTGAATTTAAAAAAAAAAAAATAATTATTATTTTCTGTCTTTTTTGGTTGGCGTTACTTTTCTTCCCTGCAAGCTGCGAATTGTCTGTTTGATGGTTTAGTTATTTTGACCTAATTCTGATCGGAAGTATTTTTTCCATGTCTTTTCATACGTTGTACGTAGAAAGCTTACCAATCTTAAACGCCTAATCTAACATAGTTAACTCCGTGAAAACATGTTCGCTCGTCGTTTGCGCGGAGCAGGCAGCCTTGCGGCCGCGTCACTGGCTCGCTGGCAGTCGTCGAAGGTGACCGGCGACGTCATTGGCATTGACCTGGGCACGACGTACAGCTGCGTCGCTGTGATGGAGGGCGACAAGCCGCGCGTGCTGGAAAACACTGAGGGCTTCCGCACCACTCCATCCGTTGTTGCCTTCAAGGGCCAGGAGAAGCTCGTCGGCCTCGCAGCAAAGCGCCAGGCCATCACAAACCCGCAGTCCACCTTCTTTGCTGTGAAGCGACTGATTGGCCGCCGCTTCGAGGACTCGAACATCCAGCACGACATCAAGAACGTGCCGTACAAGATTGTGCGCAGCAGCAACGGCGACGCGTGGGTGCAGGATGCCAATGGCAAGCAGTACTCGCCGTCGCAAGTGGGTGCGTTCGTGCTGGAGAAGATGAAGGAGACGGCGGAAAACTTTCTTGGCCGCAAAGTGTCCAACGCGGTGGTGACGTGCCCGGCGTACTTCAACGACGCGCAGCGCCCAGCGACGAAGGACCCCGGGACGATCGCCGGGCT